GGCGTGGAGCCATTGCTGGCAGGCTTGCAGCAGCAAGTCCAGAAAGTGCACCAGAAGGTGCATGGCGAGCTCTGGCTCCATGTTGCCACCTGCGGCCATGTCCCCGAAGGGAACCACCGACACAGATGGGCACAGAGACCAACGCTTTGCTGTCCCTCGGCGAGGTTGCCAAGCAAGCAGGAAAAGCTGAGAACCGGCTGTCCAGGGCGGGTCCCTTTAAGAACGAGCTTCAGATAGCCTCAGACAGCAGCCACACAAAGCAACTACTGACCTGATGCCCTGCCAGAACCGGTTTCAGCCGCCCTTAAATGCGCCCCTGCGTCCACTCAGTGTGGACGCGCTAGTTCGAATTAGCAAAACGCTAATTTGAACTAGTTTTTAGTTCTAGACGTGTTAGTTCGAATTAGCTTAGTTCGAATTAACTAATTCGAACTAAGTTAGTTCGAATTAGCACTGTAGTGTAGACGTACCCACAGAGACACTCAGTGTGATAAGCAGGAACAGAGAATAAACCAAGGCAGAACTGAACTTTAAATAATGTCAAGTAAATACAAACCTGAGCAGTAGCTCTACAACAGTAAGTTACACACTCTGAAGGCAAACTCCAGCCCATGGGCAGAAAGGCAGTGTGGGGGTGTTCTTGCCCTCCAGCACTGGGGAAGGAAGCAGGGGCTCTGGCTAAGGTACCTGCTATTCTGTCTTTGCTCAAATGGAGGGACATCTGCTGGCTTGGGGCCAGGAGGATGTCAAGTAAATACAAATACAAATACAAACCTGAGCAGTAGCTCTACAACAGTAAGTTACACACTATGAAGGCAAAATCCAGCCCATGGGCAGAAAGGGGGCGTGGGGGTGTTCTTGCCCTCCAGCACTGGGGAAGGAAGCAGGGGCTCTGGCTAAGGTACCCGCTATTCTGTCTTTGCTCAAATGGAGGGACATCTGCTGGCTTGGGGCCAGGAGGAAGCAATGTCTGGAGGTGAGATACAAGCTGCTCCTTTGTGAGCAGAAGCCTGGGTCACTATGGAGAGTGATGCCTGCATGTCAGTCTGCCTCCTCCTGTCCTGCTATGGCTGGATGGCTCCTGGACATGTTACTCAACTGCTGCCTCCCCTTTGGGGAAGAGGAGCAGGATTCTCCCAAAGTGTCATTGTGCATAAATTGTTCATCTCTGTGGCCATGCAGAGTACCTGAGAGCATCAGTACCACATATGACTGCATCTGCTTTACTGTGTCAGGTCACAGTGTTCAGCAGCTTGTTGTTCCAAACATAACAAATGTTTCAAACACTAGTCTCAATGGATGAGTTACGACTGGATCCATTCCAGAACTGATTAACTATATTTAAATAAGAGGCTGATTTCCAGCCTAATCTTTCAGAACCATTGTCCATTCAAGAGCTTACAATTGAGGAAGGGAAACATGAAGGAGAAACCACTTAGGATGGGGCAGCCTGGTTCCCTGATGTGACTAGAAAACTCTGGGGAAACTTCCATCAGCCCCTGTCTGTCCTGCTGCCAGCTGGACCTCCATGTGGCTAAAACTAATTAGAGTTGTGCGTGGTTGTGTCTAGACTGCATCCCTTTTTCGTAAAAAAGGGTTGCAAATTAGATACAGCGCAATTGCAAAGGAAGCGGGGATTTAAATCTCCCCCGCTTCATTAGCATAAAAATGGCTGCCGCTTTTTTCCGGCTCGAAGCTTTGCTGGAAAAAAGCATCAGTCTAGACACGGATCTTTCGGAAAATAAAGCCTTTTCCGAAAGATCCCTTATCCCTTATTTTAAGAGGGATAAGG